TAAATTTTTTTTTTTTTTTTTGAGCCTGCAGGACCTTAATTGATTTCAGCTTGAAATAATCCATATGCCAAATAGATCTTGGGGAGAGCTATTTTGAACTCTTCGCAGGTATTTAGTGTCCCCAGGGGTCAGGTAGTAACACTCTTGTGGCAGGGGCAGGGACTGGGCTGAGGACGCTGGGGAATCTCCTGTGTAAGCTGAGGCAGGGACAGTGGAGATGGAAAGGGTTGGATTTGAGATTTGGTAGTTGAATCTGGTAGGGCTCAGACCTGAGTGGATTTGGGGGGGCAGGAAAGGAAGCACCCTGGGTGATGACTGGGCCACAGGCTGGTACCACAGGGGGTGATGCTGTTGCTCTTCCAAAATAGGAAGCACAGGCTGAGGGCTGGGGTGGGAGCTGCGACAAGCTCATTCGGGGCATGTAGAGTTGAAATTTCTCATCCAAGTGGAGCTGCTCAGTAGGCAGTCGAATACGTAGGTGGTACTTGGAAGCTGTAAGTCTGAGCTGGAGAAAAACATTTGGGAGTCCTTGGCATTCACTCTGTGACCCAACCTTGTTGAATGCGTGGAAGAGCCAAGAAGAATATGACAAGGAATGACAGGAGAGGGAGCCTCTGGAGGGACAGAGGAAAGAATTGTAGCCAAGGTGAGAAGTGGCTCTAGAGATAGGGTGAGGCTCAGTAAATCACGGAAGCTGAGAAAAAAGAGGGCTGAGAACCAACTACCAGACTGAGAACAGACTGGTGTGTATGAGCAACCTTCAATTTGGGGTGAAGTGGTAGGTCAGAAGCTGTGTAAGCAAGGACAAAGAATGTGTTCCCTTTACCCAACAGTGGGGATCTACATAGGCCGGGTCCTTTGAGTGGGTGCTGGCTGTGCAGGGCAGGGGTGGATGACAGAGGTTGCTGCTAGCCTTTGGCTGGTACCTTTGAGCTGACTAGCCAGTCTTAGAATAGTAGACTAGCTAGTCTTTTTTTTTTTTTTTTAAAGATTTATTTTTCTTTATGTGTACAAGAACTGGGGTATATGCCAGAGGTGCAGGGGATGAGAGGATTCCCCAGAGACAGAGTGGGGAGCAGAGCAGGCTGATCTACTGAAATACATTGCTGAGGGGAGCAGCAGGTGAGATAGGAGAGGTCTGTTGCGCCACGTGGGTTAGCTCCTTGGCTGGGACTCATGCTGCAGTGGCAGGTGATAGCTTGATAGTGCTGAGACTTAACCCCTTGCACCACCAGGGAGGCCCAGACTAGCTAGTCTTAATGAAAGGGTGGGTGGGTGGACGGAAGGGCCCTCATTTATTGTTGAAGGATAGAAGTTGAAGGAAACATCCAATCGCAACCTTTTACTTTATTTGGGACAGTGATTGCTTTTTCCCTCCCTAACCTGTTTATAGACTAGACACACCTTTGTTGAAAGAATGAGCAAACTTAATTTCTCAAAGCAGAGGACTTCTGACGAAGAAACTTTAGACATAGCATACTTAGCAAACAAAAAGAAACTTTCAACAAAGAACCTTCAGATATTACATAATCCTCCTTCCTCATTGCACATTTGTAACCTTTCTTCTGGCCAGAGGCGAGGCTGTCCTTGTCTGTGCTTCTTAACCCCAGGTGATCCCAGTAGGGCTGCGGGGGAAGTTGGACAGTGACCACAGAGTCCAGGCTCAGTAAATGGAACTTCCTGAGCATGTCTCCCAATACTTGCAATTTTTTCTCCTTACCTGGTGACAGCCACTGAATTGCAGCTGTGGGCTAGAGAGGGAATAAACACAGGACTGGCAGTGCAAAAAGCCACCTGCTAGCTGACAGCAAATATTATATGAGACAAGAGGAACAAGCTTAAATTTCAGTAGAATAAAGATTTAAAAAAATTGTACAGAGACTGTGTTGAATAAAATAACTTGCTTTCTCTTTGTAGAGGTAATAATAAATATACCACTTTATTTTTAATGTTAATCACTAAAAAAGGAAGAAAACTTAATCATTATAAACATCTGAGGGCCTCCCCTGGTGGTGCAGAGGTTGAGCGCTGGGCTGCAAAGCTGCCCGCAGCCTCTGCAGCACCGGTTCGATCCCCGGCCTCCGGCAAGGGTCCCACATGGTGCACAGACCTCTCCTGCCGTGCCCGCTGCTCCCCTCAGCAGTGTATTTCGTCAGTCTTGCCTGTTTTGCTCTCCGCTCTGGCTCTGGTGAATTCTCTCACCCTCCCGCGCTTCTGACTGTACCCAGGGCTTGTATAAATAAATAAATCTTAAAAAAAAAAAAAAATCTGAAAACAGACTTGCAAGGGACCAGTGGACCTTTCCCCTCCTCCCAACCCCTTTTTATACCCTGATGGAAATTAGGTATGTGTGGTTCTGTCCAGGAGTGCAAAATGGAAAGGCTAACTTTTTAGATGGTTTCTTCCTAGCTGTCCTTCTATGGAAAATCTCCTAAAGAACAAATGCTATGGGGAGAACAGTGTTCTTTAGTCCCATTTCTAGAATTCTGGCCTTTAGATGCTAGAGAACTGGATTTGAATCCCACTGCTGCTATTTTCTGGGCTTAGGGACATAACCTCTCTGAGTCACAATTTTCTTACTGGCCAAAAAAGGGACACTAATGTCTAGAGGGCTGAGGACTGAATGGGATACAATGTGTGCACTACAGCCAGTGCAACTAAATGTCAGGTGCCCTCCCCATCCAGAATGAAGTTATGAAGTGGGAGGACGTTTAGTGACTTCTCTCTTATTTAAATGAATCTCTTATTCTGCCTTCCCTTGGGTCAGGAGGACTGGCCAGGCTAGATGGCTGTCCAGCTGGTACCCTGAGGAAGATGGGGTGGATTGGGGTTGGACCCAAGGCAAGGATGCAAGCGAGCTACTATACTTGCTGCCAGAAAGAATAATCAGTGTGGTCAAGAAAGTTCTGAGGCCAAAGCTATCATTCCAGGTCCAGAACAGGTCAAGCAGATAAAGGGGCCCAGGAGTCAAGGTGGTGATCAAAAGGGAGACCGGGACCATAGACCTGAGATAGTGTGCGTCAAGGGCACCAGATGCTGGTCCCTCAGACAATCTCAATCTTGTAGCAAGCCCCGAGTCTCTTAAAGGGGCTTGGGCAAAATGAAGAACTATGGGCTCTGCTTATTGGTGTGCAGAAGATCTCCAAGAATGAATCCTTGCTCAGCCACCACATGGGAATTCTGGTTCTATCCTCCCTCACTTTACCTTTGAAGGCCAGTTGAGGCCAGTGCAGCATGGCCGTGCTGAGCATGGTAATTCACAAGGTGTATTCTGCTGAGCCAGACTGGGATCATAGGGAGTCATAAAAATAATTCAGAAAGAAGAAAAGTAGCCACAGATTGCTAACAGCTGAAACTCTCAGATTTCCAGAAGCAGCTGCTGGCAATATGAGACCTGGGCTATGAACATGAAGCAGAGCTACAGAGAACTCAACTCTGCAGACAGAAGCCTCGTTGATAGTGGCCAATCTAGGCAGCCTGGGACAGGGGTCTAGCCATGGGCCTGGGATGAGCCCAGCCCAGATAGTCCCACCACAAACTGGAGCAAGTAACTTAACCTCTTTCAGTTTGTCATCTTTAAATGACAGTGAACACACACTAAAAATTGTCTTCGAGGACATGTTTTGGGAGAACATGAATGGGATGGAGATGAGAGAGGCACTTTGCACTTTATATCTCTATACATTTTCATTTTTGAACAAGTGGATGTATGTGTTGTTAAAAGAATAAATGAAAAAATATAAGTGATGATAGTTTTTGTCTTTCAGGATTATACAGGTCTTCCTGACAGATGGTAATTATTTACTTGAATTTACTGTTATTATTAGTGCTAATACAGGCACTGGTGATGTCATAGGTCAGTGTTTTAGCCTGTACATACCCAGCAGTCTATCACAGACTCAGATCTCCCTCCATACCCTGGCCTAACCTGTTGATAACAAATGATATAAATTCAGCCCCTTGAAAATGCGTAAAATGAATGCGTACTTGCAAATTATTTTTAAGTACATTGTAAAATATACTTTTTTTTACTCTAACACATATTAGAGTGTTGTATTAAATTACTGCGTGACACCTGTATGAACACCTGTATAGCTTTACCTATGCTCATCAGTTGCTAACATTTTTGCCTCATTTTGTTCCTCTTTTTATACACATGTACAGACATAGACATACACTGTTTTTTTCCAAACTGTTGGAAGGTTGCGGATGTGATACTTTTGTCTTTAAGTACTTAAGTAATGTGTTTTCTGTAGACATTTTGCTACAGAGCCAGAATATTATGATCAAACCTAGAATATTTAACAACTGCAGAAGATGATTATCTAATGCACAGTTTAACTTCGGGTGTCCCCAAGTGTCCTGGTAATAATCTTGACAACTGTTTGCCTTTTGATCCAGGATAATATTAAAGATCTTGCATTACTTCCGTCCACAGCATTGTTTTGTCTTTCATGACTGACACTTCAAAGAGTGTAGTTCAGGTTTGCTCTACCTTTCCTGCCTCAATGTCCTTCAGTTTGTATTTGAGTGTTTCTTTACAATTAAATTCAGGTTAAATGTTTTGGGCAGGAATACTGCAATAGGTGTCACTTTTTAAAAAAAGATTTATTTTTTGCATACAAGAGCTGGGGTGCAGGCCAGAGATGCAGGGAGGAGGGTTGAGAGTATTCACCAGAGACAGGGTGGGTAACAGAACAGGCGAATTGAATGAAATACACTGCTGAGGGGAGCAGCGGCCGAGACAGGAGAGGTCTGCTGCACCATGTGGGGCTGCGCCATGTAGGTCAGCTCCCTGTCCGTGGATGGAACTCGTGCTGCAGTGGCTGCTGATAGCTTCATAGTGCCGAGACTTAACCCTTTGCACCACCAGGGAGGCCCTTTAAGGCCACTTTTTACAAATATATTTTATACTCTTACAATGGCATGAAATCTGGGGTATTTTATTACAGTTCTTCAAATTTTCAAAAATTGTAATATTCTTATTTTCAAATATTCAGCAGGTCAATTATTGATCATTGACACAGGCCATCCTGCCATGATGGAGGCAGTGGGCTATTTGTACAGATCACTCGATCTAAGGGCGACCCATCTGGGACCTGCTCATTCATCCATCCACGGAATCCTGCAGTGAGTTTCTGTCCTACATCTCAAAATGAAATTGCTTCTGGTTATTCATGTTCTGTATGTGACCTCTTGACAACTTTTGATCTTTTGCAGTCTTCTGAGGGAAATCGAGCACATCCGAGACAGGAGATGTTGGCCTCAAGGCCTGAGCCAGCACTGCTCCGCGGGACCTGGGGGCAGCGCCGCTCTGTGGGAGTACTTGCTGAAGCTGAGCTATCACAGCACCCAGGGTTCCCCTCTAATCTGCTCCATCCGGGGCATGAATGTGGACATGCTGCACAGGGATAAAAGCACATCCGTGACACCTCCTGCAGTTCCAGATAAATCACCCCACATGGTTTCAGATAAATCAAAATGCACTTCTGGAAAAGGCAAAAAAGTCTTGAGACCCATGATTTCCATTTCTGATGAGGAAAAGACCCAACGGAAGATGCAAAATAATGTTGAAATATGGAAAGGCTCAGAAAAGGAAGCATCAAAGAAAAAGAAAAATTATTCCTCTAAGATGTTATCTTTGGGTAAAATGGATGATGGTATAAAGCTTTTACCACAAAAGATTTTGTTAGGTAATAGTGAAAGTGGAAAAGGCCAAATTTCCACAATTTACCAGCAACCCTTGCTGGGTGCTGTTAGCGTAGATAATCCCTGGGAATCCCTATCTGACCTCATCTCAGAAAAGTGGCTTTTTCATACCCCAGACTACAGTTCGGCTTTACAGAAGTGTTTTTTGCCAAGAAGATCTCAGCTGGAAACAAAATTGTTGAAGATAGCAAATGATTTTAATAAAGAATAAAAATGATCACGGGCTCTTCAATATCTTCACTTTTTCTTGTCTTTATTTAGAACTCTGATGAGATATTTTCTTTCAAAACTCTTGGAAGTAATGAAAAAAAAAAAAAAACTCTTGGAAATCATGATAATGAAGGTCTAGGGATCTGAATTTTTAGCCCCCCTTTCCACCACCAATATTATAATGGATTTTAGCTTAAAAAAACACTTCTTAAGAGATTCACATTTCTGTGATAGATAGAAGAATGTTGATCTCAGGGTTCCATATCTAAAAATAAACGAAGATATATATAATATATATTTAAAAAATATACTGAAGCAATGTTTTTTAAAGTTGTTGCTTTTACATTGCTATAGTGTCTCTATTTTTATTTTATGAATTAATGTTCCATGTAAATAAAATTCACAACTACTGTCCCCAAAACTCTTTTTTTTTTAGGAAACATGAAAAAGAAAAGATTTAAAGTGGCATAAATTAAACTATATAGTAAATTTGGATTATCAAAGCCTATGGACCTGATATCATATCTGTTTTAAGCATTTTATTGCCTCTCATTTTATCAGTGATTTGTAAAACATTACCTGTTAAGTGTTAAGGATTACTTATTGGCTACCTTAGGAAAGTCATTTCACTTCTCTGAGGCTGTTTTATTATTTATAAAATGAGAAAATTTATGACAACCACTTTTCAGGATTACAGAGAATGCATGCTAATGCACATAGCAAACCTTCGATAAATAATAATAGTATATTATTACTGTTACCATTATTGTTAGTCTAACCCAGGGGCCACTAAGGAGTCAATATCTCTTGATCCCTTCAGCCTGTGATCTAAGCATGCACTAGTGCTTTGGGTTATTTAAGTCATGCCACACCATTTCATACTTGGCAGTAGATTTTCCCTGGCAGAGTGCCAGCCTTGAGAGCGGTTCCTTGTACTCCACCCAGCAGCCTGTTTAACGGTACCAAGGAGTAGTTGGAGAACTAAGTCCTTGTAGTTCAGTTACTCTCTGCCCGGTTTTGGGTGGGCCGCATGAATCTCTCCTGCAGAAGCGGAGACTGACTAGTGTACACAGAAACGTCACGTGTTAGGGGTGTACACGACTGGTGGGGTACACGACTGGCGCAGCCCAGCACGGCGCCTGTGAGCGTGGGCAGGAGCAGAAGCTGGTGTCCATGTCCCCAAGGCCTCCCCTGCGAGGTGGAAATCTCGGGAGGGCACTGGGTATCCAGGCTGTGCAGTGGGGCTGCCCCTCAAATACAGCAGTCCAAGCGTGGGGTACAGGCCTCGCTACCCGCTGACCCGCAGGGCTGGAAAGATCCAAGTTGGGGATCCGGGACCTCCCAATTCGTCCCCGCGATCTAGGGGAGGTCCAGACTGCAGAGGTCACTAATGTTAAAGCGGTCACCTCCTGGAGCCGGGGTCAGAGGCACAGAGTCCGCGCAGCCAGCGTGGGGGGACTGTCACCGCGCGTCGGGAAGGCGCGGCGCGGCATGCGCAGCTCGGCGGGCGGCCCTGGGGTCCCGTCTCGTGGCGCAGGCCGGCGACGGAACATCAAATTCCGTGTGGTCTGGGCCTCACCACCAAGCGCCAAGCCGGCGCGCCGCAGGGTCAAGAGGTGACAGCTGCGGGCGGTACTCGGCGTCCAAGATGCTGGCCCCGCCCGCCCCCGGCCCGCCCCCGGCCCGTCCCCGGCCCGCCCCGCCCGGCTTCCCCGGCCGGGCAAGCCCACGCCTCCAGCCGAGGCTCCGCCCCCGTCCCGCCCCCACGGCCGCGCTGGCCCTCGCCCCAGTCCAGGCCCGCCCCGCCGAGGCCCCGCCCCACCGAGGCCCCGCCCCGCCGAGGCCCCGCCCCCGCGGCGGCCGGAGGAGCCGGCCGCGCCGCCACGTGCTCCGACGCAGGGGCCGCCCGCAGGCGGGGCTGAGCTCCCGGGCCGCGGCGCGCTCGCCGGGCTGAGCCGGGAAGCATGGCCACGCCGGGGGCAGCGGCGGCCGCCCGTGGGGCCGGGGCGAGGCTGGCGGCGGCGGCCCTGCGGGGCGGCTGCGGGACGGCGGCTCGGGGGCGGCCGCGCGGGGGCCCGAGCGCCCCCTGTGCACCGCGCCCGGCGCCGCCGCGGACATGAAGCGCTACCTGTGGGGCCGCTACCGGCAGGCGAAGAGCAGCACCGAGGGTGAGTGCCGCCGCCCCCCGCCCCCGCCCCCGCGCCCCGCGCCCCGCGGGCCGGCCTGCGCCCGGGCCCGGCCGCCGCGCTCCCGCCCTGTCAGCTGTGGGGGCGCCCGGGCCGAGCTGGCCGCGCCGTGACCTCCAGGCCCCCGAGACCCGCCTCAGCCCCCCGCGGCGCCGCCGCGATCCGGGGACCGCGGACGATGAGCCTCTAGAAACTTTGCAGCTCTTGTCTGTCTCCTGCGGGAACGCTGGTTTACACCTTCGTGGGGATTTGAGGCAGAAGCCTGCCTGGGAGGGCTTGGGGTTCTCCCCCGAGGCTTCGCGGGCATCGCTCTGCCCGCGGAGCACCCCCACATACCAGGCGTGCTGTGGACTGACAATAAGGGTAGTAACACCCGGGGTCCCGCAGGCGGCGGGTCACCCCGGATTCGGGGCTGCCAGGCAGGTGGGAGTGTCGGTTTACCTTTTTTTTTTTTTAATATTTATTTAATATTTTTTTATATCATTTTTGCACAATGTATGCATTTTCATCTTGGTTATAGTCCCCATACAAATCCCCCCCTTATTTTGACCCTAATCCCCCCCCTCCCCACCGTGTACGGTTTATAGTGGCTTGCTGATTTTGATTTTTACTTTATTATAATTAGTCTTTTTCCTGGTCCCCTATTTTTACAATAGCTAAGCTTTGGAAACAGCCCAAATGCCCCAAAATAGATGACTGGATCAAGAAGATGTGGTCCATATACACCATGGAATATTACTCAGCAATCAAAAAGATAAACTCATGCAGTTTGCAGCAACATGGATGGCGCTGGAAGGGATCATGCTCAGCAAAATAAGCCAGAAAGAAAAAAAAATACTGGATGGTCACACTCATAGCAGAAATCTAGAAAACCTTTCTTTTATTTTTTAAGGGAGTGGGATTTGCTGTGTTTTGAATTAAGAGGGGTTCAGGTTCAGAGAGTCTGGCTTATTTGCTAACCTAAGTGAGGAGGGGATTCCAGGCAGTGACCACCAAATGGCCAGGTTATTAATAAGGAAAGCCGTGGTGGAAAAGAACAGAGTAAATTCTAGTACCAGGTACGTAGATTGTCTCCCTGAATTCTTAAAGTAGCTACAAAGAGGTGTCATGTCCTCATTCTATAGATGGGAAAGCGAAGGCTCAAGTTTAAGGAACCTGGCCAAGGTCACACCTTGATCTGGGATCTGTCTCAGCCCCTACCTAACCCACTGCCCTATTTCCTGTGCTGTCTTCCACTAGCAGCCCGCCCTTTGGGAACTGGTGTAAAGGGCAGTGATAATCCTCTGGTGCTGCTGCTTTTACGGAGGAGTTGGAATAGTTGTTTTTTTTTTTTTTAACTAATTTTTTGGGGTGGTGGAGGTGGCATGTACAGACAGTGTGAGGATATTGGGTGGGAGACAACATTGTATAGAACATTGCATTTTCCATCTTTTGGCTCAAAATCAGTTTAGTGAAAGAAAGCAAGAGGCTTCTTTTCATGGATTGGGAGGCTTTTTTGAGGGAATTCCTCGTGGCTCACAATGCAGAATTCTAAGGAAATGGGATTTATTTTCTTTTGCTCAGTTTAATTTTTCATCTGCTTTTGATGGATTGTATTATATGGTAGAAGGAAGTATTGGGGATTGAGTTGAAAGAAATCTAGAAGATCATCTAGCACAACTTTTGGACAGACAAGACTTTAAAAAAAATTGGTGTGTTAAATTGAGATAATTGAGATAATGTACATACGTGGAGTTGTAATAATTAACACGGGCTATCCTTTACCCAGTTTCTCCTAATGGTAACATTTTGCAAAGCGGTAGAACAGGATCATAACCATTATATTGATATTGATCCAGCTTACAGGTCTTATTTAGTCCCCTAGTTTTCCTTGTACTTCGTGTATGTGTACTTAGTTCTGTGCAGTTTTATCACAGTGCCACAGTCAAAATACAGAATAGTTCACTAACAGGATCCTTTCCACTGTCTTTATAACCACTCCCACGAGTTCCTGGGCCAATATATCTGTTCTCCACTTCTCAAATGTATCCTTTTGAAAAAGTTGTGTAGATGGAATCATATAATACGTAACCTTTGGGAATTAACTTTATTCACAGAAGTAATTAAAATTTTTTTAAAGATCTATCTATTTATGCATGCAAGAGCTGGGGTACAGGCCAGAGGTTTGTGGGGGGGAGTGAGAGGATTCACCAGAGACAGAGTGGGGAACAGAACTGGCATATTGACTGAAGTACACTGCTGAGGGGAGCAGCAGGCTAATTAGGAGAGGTCTCCTGCGCCATGTGAGTCACCTCTTTGGCTGGCCGGGGACTCCAATGCAATGCTGCAGAGGCTGCAGACAACTTCATAGGCTGTGTCTTAACCCCTTGCGCCATCAGGGAGGCCCTCATAGAAGTAATTGTTCAGAGATTTGTCCTGTGTGTGTGATCAATAGTTTTTTTTTTTTAAACTGCTGAGTAGTATTCCATGGTATAGATATAATACAGCTTAACCATTTTTTACCTACAGTGAAACACTTAATAGTTCAGTTATAAAGGACATCTGGATTGCTCCCAGTTTGGAGCAATTACGAATAAAATTGCTGTATAGTATGTACAGGTGTTTATGGGAACCTATGCTTCCATTTTTCCAAATGTCATGCCATTACTTGGTTAGTCATTTTATGTTTAGTTTTAGTTTTTTAAGAAACTGCACACAAAGTTTTGCCCTTTTGATTTTTTTAAATATTTTAATTTTTTTAGATTTATTTATTTATTTATACAAGCTCTGGGTACAGTCAGAAGCATGGGAGGGTGAGAGAATTCACCAGAGCCAGAGCGGGGAGCAGAGCAGGCAGAAGGACCGAAGTACACTGCTGGGGGGAGCAGCGGGCGGCAGGAGAGGTCTACGCGCCATGTGGGACTATCCTCTGGTGGCTGGGGAGCAGCCGGGGATTGAACCGGCGCTGCAGAGGCTGCGGGCAGCTTCGCAACCCAGCGCTCAACCGCTGCGCCACTGGGGAGGCCCTGCCCTTTTGATTTTATAGATGAGGTTTGCTGCTTGCAGGCTGTGACTCCAGGGACTCCACCAAACTTCAGCCTCCCCATCTATAAAATGTGGGGAGGAATGAGTCCAGCTGTGGAAGGTGTTTTACATTCCTGGCTGGTGAGAAGGCTAAAGTGTTGGGTTATAAGGAGCATCATCAGGCCAGAGTTTGGGCTTGGGTGTGTGATAATCTGGGGGAGAGGGGTGGATTTGGTGTGCGATAATCCCCAGGGGTTGGGGGAGGAGTGGATTTTGCAGCATGACAGTGCTTGAGGGAGATTTGGAGATTTATTAGCTCTGTGACTTGGGTGGCAAGTTACTTTCCTCTCTGACCTCTGTTTCTCAACTGTATCGGGTTATAATGTCTTTTAGCAGGACTTGGTGCCCAGCAGGTGCTCAGTAGATAGTAGCTGTTATTACGAGTTGTTAAATCACTCTTAGTCATGCTTAGTAAGGGTGGGCTAGCTAGCTCTAGGCTCTAGGTCTCCCTTTTAGCACAGCACCATTAACTAGCTTGGGTGGCTTGGAAAAGGCCACCTAATCTGTCTAGCTTCTCGTAGAATGAGGCCACTGGATTAAATAATGCCTGAGCCTTTTCAAATGTCATAGGTCCGTGAGTCAGTTATTCGGGGTGCCCCATCCAAGCTTTACTCCCCAGCACAACACGTTCCCTCTGTCACCCCTGAGAACACAGGAACTTTAATTAGACTTTTCCTTCTTCGTCCTCTCTGGGTCTGCATCGTCCCTCCTCCTTTAGCTGCAGTCTGGGTGGATGTGCCCAGCTCGCGTTCTTGCGCTAGCATTTATTAATCACGTAGCCGTGGGCTTAAGTGCGTGATTCACAGATGGATGGGTCTGGGAGGGAGGGGCTCACCGTGCTCAGCACCTGTCTGTGCTGGGGGGTGTGCTGCCTAGCTCAGAGACTGGTAAACAGATAAAGGACTGTCCAGCTTGGAGGAGATAAACAGTGGCCCCTGGGACTCTGACACCAGGGCAGATAATGGGGTCAGCTGATCTCTTGCCTTCCTCCAAACAATCTGTTCAGTACGAAGCCTGCTTGGTTGATTTTGTTCTTTGTTTTACCTTTTATCTTCTACTCTTCTTTTTATTCATTTAAAAACTATTTTTCTGGGGCCTCCCTGGTGGCGCAGCGGTTGAGCGCTGGGTTGCGAAGCTGCCCGCAGCCTCTGTGGCGCCGGTTCGATCCCCGGCTGCTCCCCGGCCACCAGAAGAGGGTCCCACATGGCGCGCAGACCTCTCCTGCCGCCCGCTGCTCCCCTCAGCAGTGTACTTCGGTCCTTCTGCCTGCTCTGCTCCCCGCTCAGGCTCTGGTGAATTCTCTCACCCTCCCGCGCTTCTGACTGTACCCAGTGCTTGTATAAATAATAAATAAATAAATCTTAAAAAAAAAAACCAAAAAAAAAAAAAATAAAAACTATTTTTCTGGTAAGTTTTACTTTAGATCAGTTTGGGATTTACAGAAAATTTGCATGCTTTCTATAAACCCTGTTCCACGTTTCCCCTGTTATTAACTTCTCACTTGACGGTCACATATTAATTACAAATAAAGAACCAATATCAATTCATTGTCAATATGTATCAGTGTTAACGAAGGGCCATGCTTCACTCAGATTTCCTTTGCTTCTAGCCTCATACCCGTTCCTGCTCCAGGATCCCGTCCAGAACGGTGCATTACATTCAATCCTCATGTCTCTGGGGCTCTGCTTGTCTGTGACAGTCTTGGTGACCTTGACAGTTTGAGGAATACAGGTCAAGCACTTTGTGGATCCTCCCTCAGTTGGAATTTCTTTTTTTCTAACTTGAGATTTTTTGATTATTTTCACATTTGTATCACATCCTTTATCAAACTCTGCTCAGAGAATGTTCTTGGTATTTTTAGGAAAAGAAATGTAGGATGATAACCCTAGCAAAAATTTCCCATAGAACTCTGGTTTCCA